CCCACCTTGCCACGCTGGGGAAGGGCTGCAGCCCCCAGCCCCTTCACAGCCCCCCCTGCCCTCCTCACCTCTGCTGGCCGTCATGTACACACACTTCTTGTCCTTGTTGATGGGCCGGGGCTTTCCTGGTGCCCAGGAGATGAAGTTGAGGAGGGACCCATCAGACCACCTGGGAAAGGCACCCGTGGGGGCACAACAGCCCAGCAGTGACTTGGTGTCAGTCAGAATGGGACCAGGTGAATGCCCTAACTGGGAGCGTGTCCCCCAGCCCCCCCAGCCCTCACTCGAGTGAGGACTGTCCATCCCAGCACCCCCAGGGTGGGCCCTCTGGGATGGAGGTGCTGAGCTGTGGTGCTGGGGATGGTGGCACAGGGACACGGAGGGACACTTGTTCTCCAACTTACTTGAACCTCCCATCGTTCTCGTAGGTGTGCAGCCCGATCCACCAGTGCTGCTCCTGGCCTCTGGAGAACTGCACGCCCAGAGGGGACACATCAGTGCCCTGCAGGGACCGGGTGTCCTTGGGGACAGCCACGGCCATCCCAGGCATAGGGACCAGGCAGCCACCCTGTGGCTTGCACCGTGGCAAAGAGCATCACCCTGCTGAGCCCCGAACCCACACCTGGCCACTGGGACCTGCCACCACCACACGAGACCCACCAGAAAAATCACAGAATCCCAGACTTTTTTTGGGTTGGAGGTTCCTTAAAGATCATCCAGTACCAGGGACACCTCCTGCTAGACCAGGTTGCTCAGAGCCCCATCCAACCTGCCCTTGAACCCGATGTCACCCCAGCAAAGGATGGAACCCTAGGGAGGCAGCAGAGCCCATTGGTGCCCGGGGATGTCCCCGTCCCCCTGGTACCTTCTTCAGGTTCTGGCCCAGGAACCGCAGCTCGGCCTCGCTGTGCACCGACGCCAGCTCTGCCTGCACCCACATGCAGATGCGCTGGGCCTGCACCCACGTCAAGTGATCCTCAGAGAACCTGTACTCGGCCTCCTGGTACCTCACCCAGTCTTTGCTGCCTGCAGGCAGGGACGGGTGTCAGGCTGTGCCTCGTGCCACCACCTGCCGCAGCCACCAGCACCAGCTGCCCTGTCTCTTGGTCCCCCATGGGTTGGGCTGCTTTGCTTTCACCCCTCTCCTGCAAGAAGGGGCAGTGGGAGGTCTGGGCTCCCCTCCATCCCACAACCCTACACGGGGTCCATCTCCCTCTGGCTAACACGGAGGGATGTCCCAAGGGGCAGACACCCAGGGAGGACAGCCTGCACGTGATGGACACACGGCCACGGCCAACGCACCTTGGGTCGTGATCTCTGGCTCCTTCACATCAGCACCTGGAGAAAGGGCAAGGAGAGGCCATCAGGGGGGAGGCAGGGCTGGGATGCTCCTGCTGGTCCTTGCCTGCAAACTGCTGGTGGGCTCTAAGGGTGAGATGCCCTCCCAGATTCCCCAGGCACCTCTCCCAGCCCCTGAACTGGGACTCATACCCCCCCAGCGGGACGACCTTGGGAAGGGAGGTGCCAGAGGGTGGCCCTGCACCTGCTCCACCAGCCCACAGCCTGGTTATTTGAAGCTGAAGGGTCTAGGGGTACTTGAGTGGGCACTTTTGGTACCTTTGGGCACTTTGCAGATCCAGTCCAGCTGGGCTTCACACTGCATGGGCATCCACTGCAGGGAGGCCAGGTCCAGCACCGCGCACGTCCGCACCGCGTCGTCATCGTAGTTGCTGCGGTCAAAGTTGTGGTAGAAAAACTAGGGGGTCAAAAGAGACGGGCTGTGTTGGGCATTTCCACCAGTGCTGGGCTTGCCCCCCTGCACCCCGAATGCCAAGGGGATTGTTACTTCCCCAGCCCCCCCCAGACTCACCCCCAGCCCGTCGCTCCATCTCCAGCTCCGGTCCCCCCCAGGGTCCCGCCGGTTCAGGCCGATCCAGAACCAGTGCTGCTCGTGCAGCTCCGGCTCCACTTCCCTGTGGGGACCAGGGGGAAGGGTGAGAACAGACCTCCCATCCAAACTAGAGGGACTGACATTTGTACAGAACGAATCCCAGACTGGTTTTGGTTGGAAGGGACCTTAAAGATCATCTAGATTCACCCTTCTGCACCGGCAGGGTCCCCTCCCACCAGCCCAGGTTGCTACAAGCCCCATCCAACCTGCCCTTCAACACTGCCAGGGATGGGGCAGCCACAGCTTCCCTGGGCAACCTGGGCCAGGCTCTCACCACTCCCATAGTGAAGAGTTTCATCACTATATACACAAATATGTATAATCTGGCCTTTTTTTGTTGGTTCTCAAAGCCTGCTGTCCCCACAACCCCCAAAGGCAGGAACCTGCACAGCAGGTCCACCACCTCAGGGCTGCAGCAGTTTTAAACCCAAGCTCCATCCCCAGATTACACTGAATTTCCTGCACTTCTCCCCCATCCCCTCCTTGGTGCAGCTGCACCAAACGTCACACTTTCTGTACACGTGTTCACACTTGCAGAGCCACATCCACACCCCATCCACATGTCCAGAGCAGGGGGACAGGTGTGAGCTGGTGCCACGTGTGCTTGCACAGCAGGACACGCGTTGGTGTGGCCAACCTCTCACCCAAAAATCTTGTTGAGGGTGTTGGCCACGAAGTGCTCCTCCTCGTAGCTGCCCAGGCTGAGCAGCTGGGCCCCCAGCTCCCGGCAAAACGCCTGCGCCGCGACCCACGTCCTCTTCTCTTGCAGTTTCTCAAAGTTGAACACCTGGTGGGGGGAGGAACCAGCAGTGAAGGGGCTTGAGCACCAGGAGAGGAGCAGAGCACCATCCCCACCCTGCAGGCACCAGCATCCCAGGGCATGATGACACCACCCAGCCCAGAACAGGCTCGTGGGGCCTGGGTTTTGCTTTGCAAGCACCAAACTTTGCTCCTTCACACCCCCCTGCACCAATGGGGACCCCCACAATGGCCAAGACAAGCCCCCCCCCCAGCTCCCCTCACCTTGTAGCAGTGTCGGAGCTTGGAGTCAGAGCTCCATCCCATGGGACAGGTGGCAGAGGGGCTGGGTGTGGGGTAGGGCCCGGGCAGCTCGGGGTTGACCGGGGTGCCCAGGTTCTGCCGGCAGATGTACTTGGCCTTGAAGGTGCTGCAGTTCTTCACCTCCCACAGCCCCATGGAGCTGCCGGTGGCCAGGGCCACGCAGCCACCCTTGTTGTAACCTGGAGCACTCACAGGAGCGGGGAGGATGCCAGCCTTAGGAGTGGGACTGTGCCAGGTGGCAGAGCCAGCACCCATCACACCCGGTGGGGACATCCCCAATCCACCCAGCAGGGACATCCTTATCCCACCCGGGGACATCCCCATCCCACCTGGTGGGGACATCCCCAACCCACCTGGTGGGGACATCCCCATCCCACTCAGCAGGGACATCCCCATCCCACCCAGTGGGGACATCCCCCATCCCACCCAGGGACATCCCCCTCCCACCCAGGGACATCCCCATCCCACCCAGGGACATCCCATCAGGGACATCCCCATCCTACCCGGGGACATCCCCATCCCACCCAAGGACATCCCCATCCCACCCGGCAGGGACATCCCCACCCAGGGCCACCCCCTGTACCGGGCTGGCCGCGGTTCCAGTGGGTGTAGGTGACCTCGTCCCCGCTGAGCCAGCGGAAGGCGCCGGTCTCGTTGATGTCCTGCAGGGCTGTCCAGAAATACTCCCCATCCCAGCCGTAGATGAGGCTGCTGACATAGGCCTGCTCAAACCTGGGAAGCAGGTGACAGATGCTGTGAGCTCAGACACCAAACGTGCCCCCAGACCCCGTGTGCACAGCCAGGCTGATGGGTCGTGTGGCCCCACGATGGGGGGCAGGCAACATTTTGGGGCCAGACCCCAAGCAAGCACAGGACTGACCTGTTGGTGATGGTGACCAGCGTGGAGCTGTAATCAGAGCAGGTCCTGCGAGCGTCGCTGTAGGGGACACGGTCCTCGCCCAGCCAGAAGCAAGAGGGGCTGTGCCACTTCCAGCCCTGCAGATGGGGGACAGGGGACATCCACCACTGCTCCTCCCAGCCTGGAGGGACAGGGATGAGGCCAACATCCCACGTCCCTTGCCACCACCTCTGCTTTCCTCCTGGGAGGTCTCCAGCCCCCCGGCCACCCCCAGCTTGACCCAGCTCAGCTTGGAGCTCCAAGCAGCCCCCTGCCCCAGGGGACATGGAGACAGGGAAAACAAACACCCAGGCAGCTTCAAAGCCAGGGAAACGGCTCTTCCTGCCAACGTCCAGCCCGGCCGGGGCGCGGGGAAGGGAACACAACCCTCCTCTGTGCTCTGCGGGGCCGGATCCAGGGCCAGTCCCAGCACAGGCTGCTTTAATCCCCTGTCTTGTTGATGTTGGAGCCTCTCCGGGGCTGGAGCCACAATAGTGCCTGGTTGCTGCCAGAGCAGGGAGAGGGGCTGGCAGTGGTGGGGCAGGGAGGGATGTGGGGGCTGGGGATGGAAGGGGAAGGGGCTCAGGCAGGAGGGGAATAGCCCCCCCAGCTCAGAGACCCTCCTGGCATGGTGGGAAACATTGCTGGGGTTTAACTTGTGGGTCCCCAAGGCATGGGAAGGACAGCAGGGGACACCTGCCATGTGCAGCATCACTGGGGTTTAACCCCTGGGCCCCCAAGGCATGGGAAGGACAGCAGGGGACACCTGCCATGTGCAGCATCACTGGGGTTTAACCTCTGGGTCCCCCAGGCATGGGAAGGACAGCAGGGGACACCTGCCATGTGCAGCATCACTGGGGTTTAACTTGTGGGTCCCCAAGGCATGGGAAGGACAGCAGGGGACACCTGCCATGTGCAGCATCACCAGCACAGGAGGGAAGGAAGCAGGAGAGCATCTCTGGGAGGCTGAGAGGAAAACTACCCCAAATCCCATTCTCCCCCCACAGACCCCAAATTCCTGCTCCTGCAGCCTTTCCCCAAAATTAGTAAATCCGGGTGTGGACCCACCAGCTGGGTCCCAGTGGGAACAGCACAGACACCAGCAGCTGGGAAAGGGGCCCAGATCAGGACAGTGCAGGTCCCCAGTGTCTCCAGAGGGGTCTGATGGGCCCCAGAGGGGTCCCAAACCAGTTCTGGGTCCCTGCAGCACTAAAACCACATGGGTGCTCTGCTGTGCACTGAGCACCACAGCAAGCCCCTCTGATACAAACAGGGGCCAGGATGAGACCCTCAACTCCAACTGCTGCCTCCAGCTCCTGCTCCCAGTGTGTCCCCTCATCCTTCTCTGGCTCTGCCTTTCCTAAAGGCTGTTTCAAACATAAAGGGAGGTTGGAAAGGGGAAGAAAAAGTGAAAAGTCACCAAAAAAAACCAGTCCTGCATGGTGGCTGGAGCAGATCAAGGCTGATCCTCTGAGCAAGATGCCACCTCTTCTCCATCAGTCTCCGTCATCCAAGTGGCACACAGGCCCATTGAGGATGAGGAGGGGAAGGAAGGATGGGAAAAGGCCTTTTCTTGGTTCATTTCTCACTCCCAGCTTTTCTCCCAGAGGGTGCATCCCTGTGGGGCACCCGGGGCCAGCCTGTGGCTGGAGAGGGAGGAGGGAGTTAAATCTGCACGGGGACACCCTGTAAGGCCTCAGGATTGCTGCAGGGACAGGCAGGATGGGTGGTGGTGGCACATGGCCAGGGAAAGGCCCGGGAGGAGCTGGGCAGCACCCCTGGGAGCTGGCCCAGAGGGGCTGTTTGCTAGTCCGAGCGCGCTGCCTGGCTCTGCAGCGCCGGGAGACGTTCAAGAGCTGGGGCTGGTGCCAGGACTGCTGCTCCAGGACTGCAAAAAGGCACAAAAAGTGACTTCCCAGCAAGCGTGGGAATGGGGTGGCCCCAGCCCTGCTCGACAACTGGGGAAACTGAGGCAGAGCACAGTCCAGCTTGGTGGCCTTGTCCCCAGAACTCCCCTACCCTGCCCAGAGGCACCGCCTGGCACCAGCAGCTGCCTCGTCCTGCTGGGCTCCTGCAGGGAGCAGCTTTGCTGCTGAGGTGTTGGCATGGGGTGAGGGAAGGGGAAAAAGGATGAACATCCCTGCTGGCAACCGAAGTAGCCCCAGGGGGAGGATCTTGGATGATGGAGACCCGTGTTTTGTCCCAGGATGCTCTGTTGTGCCAGCAGCCCTTGGACACAGACCCACAGCTCTGGGTGCTGCTCATCAGGGCTCCCTGAAATGGTTTTGGGGAGAAGTCCCATGCAACCCCAAAACCCAGAGGATCAGGCAGAGCTGTGGAGCAGCCAGAGCCATCACCTGCCCCAGGACCCCCTCACCTTTCGGCACCCATGGTCATCCTCCTCCTTCTCCTGGCTCACCCGACCAGGCTTTTTGCAGATGGATGGCAGGGTCTGGTTGCACGGGCTGTCATTCCACCTCCCTTCCTGCATAAAGTGGAGAAGAGCAGGATTGAGCCCAGCCAACAGCTGGGAACTCCCCAGACCATCCACCCCCATGGTGGGTCCACCAACTTCTCTTCCCTCCACTAGATTCCTCAGGAAGCCATGCTAGAACCCTCCCATCCCAACAGCGGGGATGAGACACATTCAAACCCAGCGGGAGCTTCCCCCCCAGGTACCCCTGCCATGAGGGCACTGCAGTGCTGAGGTGCAGGATGAACCCCCCCACCCTGGGCTCTCACCGGTCCCCAGATGGTCACACAGTCTTCCAGGCTGTCACGGAAGTTGTTGGGCTCAAAGGGATGCCAGTAGGTGAACCTCACGGGTGTCCCATCCGACCACTCAAAGTTCATCTGCAGCTTGAGGTCATTTAGGCCAATCCAGAGCTCCTCCACGTCTGCCAAGACAGGAGGGTTGGGGCTGAAACTCCCTCTGCCTGGCTGAAACCTTGCAGAAACCTTGCAGAACCCCCCCCCTGATGGCACCAGCTCCTGTGATGAGACTGTGGTTCTGCAGAGCACCTGCCCCAACTCCACCACAAGGCTCAGCCCCTAACCCCAGCTATGCCAGCAGGCAGGAGGGGGCAGGGGGGGGCAGGAGGGGGCAGGAGGGGGCAGCTCCTGCCTGCAGGGATGGGCTCACAGAGTTGTAAACACAAGGACATTTGGCAGCAGTTCTCACAGAGAGGGGC